GCTTCCGTTGGGGTTTCTCGGCTCCCCAGCTGGGGCCCCAAAGATTCAGATCGTCTTTGGTTGGAGACACTGTGGGATATGGCATCGAACCGAAGTCAGTGGCGTGAATGTGTCCTCTCCTGTTTGCAATCCCAAAAGTAAACAAAAACAAACAACAAAAAACCCAAAATGGCGTGCAGTAAACAAACAAAAATTGTTACTCCCCGAAGTTGACTGTTTTGTTATCCCCGTTTTCTTACCTGTATTTTCTTTCGTTCACCCATGGTTATTTTTGGCGCCGTATCTGTAAAGATTGGTTTTAATATATATATATATATATATTTTAATATTGATTCAGTTGTTCCTGTTTTCAATTCATCGACTGGCGGCCCGGAAAACGTGATAGCATACAATGAAAAATACCAGCGCAAATAAGCGTCCTCTGAGTCTGTTGAGAGCAGTCCAAACCGGACCAACAATTGGAATTGAAGGGGAGGAAGAAAGAAAGAGCATCGAATAGCCCGAATTCCTGTTTGAATGCAATCACGCGTACCGGAATGGAGGTGGGTTACCTGGGACAGCACATAAAGGAAGGTTGCGGTTAGTGGTGAATGATTCGAACCATAAGCACATGGTTCCCGATAAATGTCATTCGAGGTTATACATGAGCGACGATGACGACGAAGACACCCAGGCAGAAATCAACACAAGTCACGCCCCAGCGGTCATCCTCACGAAGCAAATGTGCGGACGAGACATGAAAAAGCTGATGGAGAGAGAAGGTAGGGAAACTCTGACCGGGAGACTGGGCCACGTAGGTCCCGTTAGGCTCCCTAGTTTGGAACCCCGAGGTCATCGCCACCGATGGTTAGAGACATCGAGTGATATGGCTGGTTATCGCAAACTGTGATGCTCATGCATCTACTGATTATTCTTGCAGTATCAGTCTATATGAATTCTCTATCCGTCGCTTGAATTTGCCCTCAACACTCCAATCTTCATTTTACTCTTTTCGCCAAATGGGCGCACGAAAGAGAGGAACCAAAACCGGCGCACAAAAGTGTACGGCTAATAGTTGTACAAAATGAAACTAATAAAGAGAGACCGCGCGAGAAACTATTTGCGTCTCTCTTGCGCAGCAGAATGTTTACATGCAAGTTCATTTCTCTCTCCCCGGTTTATCTTATCCGACAAATCAACTGACTGAATGCCTACATACACAAATTGCGTGTCGGCCGTAACGAACAAAATTGTTTTTCTTTTCTGCAAAGTGATGATGATACTGTGGTGATTATTGTCCAGCCAAATAAAACCGGACAGACGGGGAGTTCCCAAAGGACGAAACGCGTTCTATCTATCTATCAAGTCGGCAGTGTCCTGCCCCCTTCCCCTGTGCACTGATCTAAGTGATTTCATCGTTCCCATGTACCAGCCCTACCTCGTCTGTCCACAAATTCCTATCGGTTTATTTACCTAATTACCTAGAATCCGATCAGTTGCTGAGATCCCGGGTTGACCGCATCCGTCCTACACCGCAAAAATGTTTTTTTTCCCATCCCGTGCATGCCACATTGCAACAGCCAGAACTATCACATGTGAACCCAAAAGCCTCAGAGTATGGTCGAGGGTGTGTCTAGGGTTGCGGCTGGACACCGTTTCCTTGCACCTCACGAAATGCGCCCATACGATCAAAGGATCTCGAATAGCCAATTATGTTGATGAAACCCTACTCACAGCCTTCTCTTGACTGCGGAGGTGTTTTCCCACCAAAGTGTGAGGACAAAAAGCCGATAACCGGGTTGGTGGACCACTGGTAGTTCACCTAGGGGATTTGGCCAAAAATACCGATTCCAAACCAACCATAAGGAGGCATAGGAACCTCAGCCACACCTTTACAGTTGTGGCAGTGGTCGCCGGCTCGATTGGGCACCTTGAACGTTTGACTCCGTCCAAAGGGCATACGATCCGATGAGCTGCACACCGGTTTCCAGTGGACCGCGGTTTTTACACACCGCTCCGCTGCCTTGCGGATCAGGCTTTGACTAACCGAAAGCTTCGGATGCGGATCCCTCAAGATAGTTCGCCTGCCTTGGTTTGGGAAACCGGACAGTATTCCACCCATATGCAAATCATGGAGCGCTTTTCTTTTTTTATAAAGATTATTGTACCACGATTTGTTTGGCACACAGTTTGAATTCAGACGTGTGCGAAAATATGAAATATATATATATATATATACATATATCTATAATAGTGGCCGTCGGCTGTGCTGCAAAACCGGGAACAAAAACACAACGATGACATCAGAAAAGAAATTGAACAAACTGTGGAGACCAACCTGCTCTGTGTGGCAAAATGACGACATCCGCCCAAACACTGATCGGCTGCCGGACCGGTACAGCCACCCGCAGCACATTCCACATGACACTGAGGTCGGGATTTATCGGACCAGTGAACCAAATGGATGTTCGTGAGCAGGGAAAAGAAAACAAACAAAGCGTGAGCACAAAACATATCGTTTTTCCTTAAAACAACGACAACAACAAGAGTTTTTTTTGTCTGGTAGTTAAATAGATATCATAGGACGTGAGGGAGAGAGGCACCACGATCAATCAGGAGCCGGGATGGGAACGGTGTGTGAGAAAATTTTAGATCAGAAAAAAAGAAAAACGATGCCAACTGTCGATCCGACTGAATTGTAACATCCAGAAGCATGAACGGTTGGAGAGATAGAATCAAAGAAAGTCAGATGAATAGGCAATTAACACGATGAGATGCGAATAAACATCTCTGTCATTTGAAGCAATGAGGAGGTGGCACAGAGTTTTGCGTTTACCATTAAAATAGTAATCAAATGCATATCAGACTAGATGGGGTGCACAGCAGGATTGAAAAAAAAACAATAGATAATCACATGAACCGAAATTT